ATTATATATAACTGCCAATTTCTATAAATCCATATACATACTTACCCTTACTTCTCATTTTATACACATTCTTGGGACAGGCACTGGTCCACTGATCACATTTTGTGCAACAGTGTTCTAAGTAACCAGTACCTGAGGCACACTAATGACCCTCCAGCTTAACATTATTAGAAATATAACAGACTATACTGTCAATATGTTATTATTCAAAAACAAACCACCCTCATTTCAAGGAAATTTTAAAAAGACATTGGGTATAAAATTTGATTGCTCTATACCAGCCTTGAAATATTCTTTTCTCTCATTTTAAATAACTAATGTATAATCTGCTTTGCAAATCTACTAACTGCCAAATATGATGCAAACCATAGCACATTAGTCATTATTTCTTAAAATTTTACACCTTTTTAGCCAATTCTCACCAAATCACTCTACATTTAAGATGTAATTCCAATCGAAATATCAACTGGGTTTTTAAAATGTTTTGTTTTCAAGAGAGTTGAGGAGAATTCATTCTCAAGTTCACATGGAAGAGAAATGCTTAAAAGCTTGATATCTGGTTAAAAACAACAACAGGATGAGGTGATTTTAACCTGCTAGATGCCAATTAACCCTATGAAACAACAGAAGTCAAAATAATGGGATTCTGACCATAATGACTGTATAAAACTTGTAAATAATAAAACAACCAACAAACATTTTATTGGGCATCTATTATGACCAGAATGTGTTAAACACTTGATATTCTTTTTGTCTTATTCCTAACAACCCTGCAAATTAGATGTTATTATTATTTCTCTTCTAATGAAACATGCTTAGAGAGGTTAATTAACTTAACTAGTAGATGACTGGGTAAAGAAAAAACAAATTATCAGTAGGGAAAAAAAGGTGTCCAAATCAAATGTTAAAGCAGCATTTTTACCTAAATGGGATGATTATTTTAAAAATGGCTACTGGCAAGAATCAATTAGATTACAAGATATATTCAGATCTTAACTACTGACAAACACTATTTCCATGGAGGTGTACAAAACAATATATATAAAAAACAAAACTAGGCATTCTAGAAAAATATGAAAATTTAAAGATAATTGTAACATGAAGACTATCTTTCTATGAAGGTCGGAACACAGAAGTTAGAACTGATTGAAAAACAAAAACAAAATAAAACCCCAGGTCTCTAACAAGAAGTTTTTCAAAAACACTGGATAAAATATTTGCCATACACACACACACACACACAAACACACACTTGAAAAGGACAAGTAATTTAACAGAACAATGTAAGAAGACTAAGAGAGGTTAACAGGAGAAACAGTTGCTACAATGCTTCTGGTTGTAAAGCAAATCTATGGCACTGACCAGAATTCAATATCTTGTTATCCTTAAACTTAGGGCTAATACTTCTAGGAACTGATACTTCAGAAATAGGAATATATTCAGACTGCCTGTGAATAAACTGTTTCTTATTTGCTAATTGCTTTTTCCTTATTTTTGTCTAGAAAATTCTTACTCCTATTTCAATACTCAGCTCAACTTCCCTTCCCACCTCCAGTCCAATGTGAATCCATCTACACATCCCTGAGCATAACTTTGAGGGCCTAGTGGTTCTTCAGAGCCGTGTAGAGGCAAGGCAACCCAACAGGGAGGAGTCAAATCACAAACAATGTGAGGATAGGTGTTTGTGTGGATGAGTTAATAGGGACCACAAAGGCCAACAGAAGTAAGGGTCTGAGAGGAGGAAGAAATAGATGCAGAGCAGGCCATATTAGATTCCAAAACCGCAGGTAACCAACTAAAAAAGAAAAAGATAAGAAAAGGCTTATGGTGAGGGATTATGGTATGGTAAGGGATTATTCCTGGTCATTCCTGAAACTAAGCTGAAATTAACTAATTAATTTTTAATTAATTAAAAAGGTGATGGAGGTGTAAGAAAATAACATTCCTTGAGAGAGAGAGAATAATATAAAAAAAAAAAAATCCTCTTTCAAAGTTGCTTGCACTAGCCAGGCATAGTGGCACATACCTATAAACCAACAACTCAATTAAGGCAGAGGATTACAAATTCAAGGCAAGACTGGGCAACTTAGTAGAACTCCTGTCTCAAAAAAAAAAAAAAAAAAAAAAAAGGACTGATGATGCAGCTCGGTGGTAGAGTGCCCTTGTACTGAACCTTCATTAGCTCCCACCATATAGGGTACAAATCTTGTTTTCATAGCCATATACAAGATCTGAATGCAGAATACTGCATATATTATTGACAAAAATGTTTCAAATACCATAATTGGAACTGGAATTGGTATAAATTTTATTAATTCTTTCTCCTTAATCTAAGAGTAGAGTCCTTATATGTACTCCTTTTACACAAAGATTAAAAAGTTAAGTGTGATTAACATTTCTAAGATTTTAAGATTATTTTAATAGTTTATAACATTCTTCTGAATTTTTTTTTGAAATATATGTCCAGAATACTGATACATTATTCAATGTACTGTCCTACTACTCAATCTGTAATTTATCCACTTATCATTTGTTCATTCAACACATGTTTACTGGACATGTGTTGAGTGAACAAATTATAAATGAATACATTATTTTAAATGACCTGCAGTCCTCTATTGTACATTGTATCTCCAGATTCCTTCATCCTACACATCTCCTACTTTGTCCCCTTTGACCTATGTCTCCCCTTCCCTTGCACCCAGCCCCTGGTGATCATTGTTTTATTCTCTAATTCTGCACAGATGACTTTTCTTGGTTTTAGTTCTACATGTAAATGAAATCAGGCAAAATTTTTATCTGTATCTGGCTTTATTTCACTAAATAATATCCTTCAGGTTCATCCATGTTGAGGAAAAAACTTACCGAAGTCTGAACAATATTCCATTGTGTGTGTGTGTGTGTGTGTGTGTGTGTCTCCCCACATGTGTACACACATCACATTCTCTTTACCTATTTGTCCACTGACAGGTTGTTTCCCTATCTTGGCTATTTTGAATAAACAATGCAATGAACACAGAACTGCAGATAACATAATCAAGTGGTTATTTTGTCTCCTTTTGGTTTATACCCAGAAGAGTGATAACTGGATCATAATTTTTTTAAATTTCTTTAGAAACTTCCTACTGTTTTCATAATGGATGAGTCAATATGCATTCTTACCAAGAGTGCACTAGGGTTCTCTCTTTTCCACATCCTCACCAAAATCTGTTATTTTTTTCTTTTTGACAACATGAGGACTATAGCTAATTAAACTGAAAGAGGGATTTTTGTTAAATAAGATTGTAGCTGCCTCCCCCATCCCCAACACACACACAGTGTGAGATGATATGTAAGTTAATTTATTTCATTATAGTACCAATATTACTATGTATACATATCTAATAACAATGTCATAAATCTCAAAAAATAAAATTTGTTCTTAAAATGAATCTTAAAATCTATATGAAAATTTTAATTAACATGCTAAAGCCTTTAAAATTTTTGTTTAAAAGGAAAAACTGAGTAAGTTAACATGACTCAGTAACTTATAAGAAAATTTTAAAGTAACTCATAAACAAGCCCAGTTTATTTTAGATTTCTCTAACCTATATTTCCTAATACGGGTTTTATTCATTTTCCTTTCTTATTAAGCATGAATTTCGCTGTATGTTAAAAGAAAACAACAACAACAACAACAAACTGTAAGACAGAAAGTTATAGTCTCTATGCAGAAAATCTTAATGGTATTAGTAAGGAGACATATGTGTGTGCTTGTGTGCGCACACACACAACATAAAAAGATAAAAGAACTATAAAAATGCAGCACAGTATTATTAATAATATACATACTTTGTGCAAAAAAAAAAGCTAGGCTTCAGTTAAAGGTTTTTCATCAAGTTTTATAACAGTTACTAAAAAAGAATCAGTAAAGTACTCAAATAGCAAACAATCAAATGGGAGCTGGGGAAAAACAATGTTTTGTGGACAGTACCAACCAGTATTGCTTTGAATCAAACTGAAAACAAATTACTGGGTCAAAGAAAGAAGCACAGGCACAGAGCCTTGATCATTCTAGATTGTAATATTTCCTGGGTTTCAGTTTTTCTTTATTAGGAAAATAAAGGAGTGAAACTAGCTTGTCTTCAAAGGTCCCCTTTAGCTCTTAAATTTGATACATGTTTTTTAGTAGCCAATACTTTCCTATTCCAAAGATAAGCAAACTTTTGCACTGTTTTCATTATTAAAGATTAGATTTCTTTATAGTCTGGGCATGAATATAAATAAGTAGGTCATTTCAGAATTCTAAATTATAAGAACAGATTTTAAATAGTGTTAGTGTAAGCAGTTTACAACGTATTAACTACAAAAATATTGTTATGGGGACTGCTACAGTTTGTATCTGAAATGTCCCCTAAAGCCACATGTGCTAAAGGCCTGGACCCCTGCCCATGGGGCTATTGTGAGGTGGTGGAACAATTGGGAGGTAGGGCCTAATGGGAGGTCTTAGGTTACTGGAGGCACGCCCTTAAATAGGATCATGGAAAACTGATCTTTTCTTTTCTCTCTTTTCACTTCTTGGCTGCCATGAGGTGAGTAGCTTCCTTGGCTACCTGCTACCACCACGATGTATTTCCTCACTATAGGCCCAAAGCAATAGGGCAACCATACAAGGACTAAAATCTCTGAAACTGTGAGGCAAAATAGACATGTTCTCCTTTTAAGTTGATTACGCCAGGTATTTTTTTACAGTAATAGAAAACCAATGAATACAAAAACAGAGGTACCTGATACATCTTATATAGAAAGTATTGCAGTCAATAATAATTATTGAATTATCCAAATTACCTGATGGATAAGGTAAGTATAACCATGAAGTATAATTCTGTATATGTTCATTTCACTCACTTCTAAAGCTCCTGACTCACGTCTATCCTTTTGACTCCTTGTATAAAAGAGTCCTGATTAATTAACAAGTTATTCTTTTTACTTATCAAGCCTACTCCAATAAAATAACTTACCGCCCGAGCCGAGTCACCAAAGTCTATCTTCAACCGCCCCATGGCCCTAATGATAGCAATGATGGACTGGATGGTGTTACTGTAGACCACTGCTCTGTACTGCTTACATTCCTCCTCTGAGTAGCCAGCTTCATGGATAATTCTAATGAAATGAAAGCAAAGAAAAAGCACTTTCTTTGATGAAGGGTATACTTAAAACATAAAAAAAAAAAAAATTCAATGTTTTAAATCTACTTACTTCATCTGCTTCACTATTGTACTTTTCCCTGATTCACCAGCACCTAAAAAACAAAATAAAGAATTTCTAATTTCAACATTCAACTTAAGTAAATCCAACTCCCAGAACACACATATACACTATGGATCTCTTAAGAAAATGAGATACAAAGCAGCAACTACATAGGATGAACAAGTGTAAGACCCACTATACAACATGAGTATTACAGTTCATAACAGTGTAGTATATTTGGGATTTCTTTCTATTTTATTAGAAATTTGTTTTGTTTTTGCTTTTGTGGTACTGGGGACCAAGCCAGGGCCTTGTGCATGTTGAGTAAGCGCTTTAACCACTGTAAATATCCATCCCTGTATTGAGAATTTTGGTCAAATAAGTGAATGACAGTTGTTGTTGGCACAGGAGAAAAATGTATAATTAGATAAGCTGATAAAAATATTATTTTTAACTGTATTAACCATTTGAGACTCTGTGTGTGTGTTTGAGAGACTTAGTTATGTGCCATGTAGTATACCTTAAAAATACACAATAAGATTTATTTAAAAAAATAAGTGAGCTTTATTAATTCAAAATATATGGAAACTTTTTCAGATGCAAGTCCTGTTGTCTCTTTCTTCATAATATACTCAAATTCAATAAACTCAATTGAAAAAAAAATCCTTTCATTGTTGTTTGTGTATATCTTCTAAAGCTCTAACAAGTTCCATCTTGTATTAAAACTGAAGCACTATAAATGAGTTTCATTCCAGGTTTTAGTCCATATCAGCAGATGTTTTCACTGCTTGGCCAATTGGTTTTAACTTTTGGCTCTTGTGAAGTAGAATGGCAGCGGTACTGAGAAAGTGCATATAAAGTTTAAAACACAAATAGGAAAAGAAGAACTCAAATTATCATTATTTGCTGATGACATGATCCTATACTTAGAGGATCCAAAAAAATTCTACCAAAAAACTTTTAGAATTAATTAATGAATTCAGCAAAGTAGCAGAATATAAAATCAATACCCACAAATCAAATGCATTTCTATACATCAGTGATGAATCCTCTGAAAGAGAAATTAGGAAAACTACCCCATTCACAAGAGCCTCCAAAAAAAAAATAAATAAATAAATAAAATGCTTGGGAATCAGTAAAAGAGATGAAAGACCTCTACAATGAAAACTACAGAACACTAAAGAAAGAAATTGAAGAAGGCCTTAGAAGATGGAAAGATCTTTCATGCTCTTGGATAGGCAAAATTAATATTGTCAAAATGGCTATACTACCTAAAATGCTATACAGATTCAATGTGATTCCAATTAAAATCCCATCGTCATCCCTTATAGAAAGAGAAAGCAATCATGAAATTCATTTAGAAAAAGAAGAGAACCAGAATCGCCAAAGCAATCTTAGCAACAAGAGTGAAGGAGGCATCACAATACCAGTACTTAAAATATACTACACAAAGCTCTAGTAATAAAAAAGCATGGTATTGGCACCAAAATAGACATGTAGACTAATGGCAGAGAACAGAAGACACAAAAACAAACTCATACAAATACAGTTATATGAGATAATTGGACAAAGTTATATGAGATACTGGACAAAGGCGCCAAAAACATACATTGGATAAAAGATAGCCTCTTCAACAAATGGTAAGAGAGAACTGGAAATCCAAATGCAACAAAATGAAAATAAACCCCTGTCTCACCCTGCAGAAAATTCAACTCAAAGTAGATCAAGGACCTAGGAATTATTCAGAGACCCTGAGCCTAACAGAGGAAAAAGAAGGCCCAAATCATCATGTCAGATTAGGCCCTGACTTCCTTAACAAGACTTCTAAAGCGCCAGAAATAAAATCAACAATTAATAAATGGGATGGACTCAAACTAAAAAGCTTCTTCTCAGCAAAAGAAACAATCAGCGAGATGAAAAGAGAGCCTACATTCTGGGAGCAAATTTTGCCACAGGCATATCAGATAGAGCACTAATCTCCAGAATATATAAAGAACTAAAAAAAACCTTAGCGTTAAAAAAACAAACAACTTGATCAAGAAATGGGGTAAAGAGCTGAACAGACACTTCTCAGATATACTTTTGATCAACAAATATATGAAAAAATGTTCAACATCTGTAGTAATTAGAGAAATGTAAGTCAAAAGTACTCTAAGATTTCATCTCATGCCAGTCAAAATGGCAGTTATCAAGAATACAGACAACAAATAATGTTGGCGAGGATGTGGGGGAAAAGGCACACTCATGCATTACTGGTAGGACTGCAAATGGGTGTAACCACTCTGGAAAGCAGTATGGAGATTCCTTAGAAAACTTGGAATGGAACCACCATTTGACCAGCTATCCCACTCCTCGCTCTATACCCAAAGGACTTAAAAACAGCATACTACAGGGACACAGCCACATCAATGTTTATAGCAGCACAATTCACAACAGCTAAACTTTGGAACCAATCTAGATGCCCTTCAATAGATGAATGGATAAAGAAACTTTGGTATATATATATATATATATACACACACACACACACACACACACACACACACACAATGGAATATTACTCAGCATTTGCAGGTAAATGGATGGAGTTCAAGAATATCATGGTAAGTGAAGTAAGCCAATCCCAAAACACCAAAGGCCAGATGTTGTCTCTGATAAGTGGATGCTGATCTGTAATGGGGGAGGGTCATGGGGAAAATGGAGAAATTGTGATTGGGCAAAGAGGAGGGAGAAGAGGGAAGGGGCATGGCAGCAGGAAAGATGGTGGAATGAGATGGACATCATTACCCTAGGTGCATGTATGACTGCACATACGATACGATGCTACATCATGTACAACCAGAGAAATGAAAAGTTGCGCTGCAATTGTATACAATGAATCAAAATGCATTCTGCTGTCATATTTTAAAAAAGATTTAAAACATCTTATGTCACTACAGCTCTGTCTTATGCAATTTATGTTCAACCAGCACCCCTAAACACTGTGGAACCAATATAGATGCCCTTCAATAGATGGGCACTCTGCGGGGATGCAATGGTATGTTAGACAAAAAGTCCACCGGGTTTTTTATCTTCCTTTCACACAAGTCAAAAAGCCTTTCTCAAAACTCCTTCACTCTTTACACATGCGGGTCCCTTAATGATGAGTCCCTCCCATTGTACTACTCTCACATGAAAATATTACTAATAAAATGACCACTTACAAAGTCAGTGTCCTCTTAAATACCCTTCCTTCCCACTTAACAGTAACTGCTATCTTTATATTAAATTAGACCAATTTGTCAAACCACTCAATTGGTGGATATTGAGAACATCTGAGCAGAGATCAACAAAGGTAAGACAGGATGAGCCTGTTGCCACAGGTACACACCCTGCAGGAATTTATTACTGTTTGAGGGACAGAACTCAGGATTTTCATCACCTGAGCCTCATTTCCCCAGCCATTCCTACAGTGTTTTATGCTGAGCATTACTGAGCACTGCTGCTGGCCATGCAACAAGCCTTCAAACATATTGTTTCCCCTGACAAAATACACTTTCTCTCTTCCTCTTGTCACCTGGTGATCCTCTATCCCCTGTGTCAACCCTCCGATCCACTCCGCACATGTGCCTTTCACTGTGCACACATTCCTATCTGATTTCTCAGCTGCTATCTTGTGCTAGACACAGTCAACCAAACAGAAATGCTCTTAAGTTTATTTCAGCTATTTGTGATGGACAAAACTAGATGGTAACACTCCAGGCTTCCTCTTTCCCTTTGCCCCCTTTCTCCCTGGAGCCACAAACACACATGCCAACATACATTTAGACAGATAGACAGACACACACACACACACACACACACACACACACACACACATATATATATATATATATATAAAACATCAGAGGCCTTGGAGATGATTTGCAGCCACAGGTTGTAGTTAAATGGCCTCTAAAAAATTTGAGGCAAAAACTGCAGAAGATTTACTTGTGGTCTGATATTCAAGAAATTCACCCAAGATACCCTCACATTAAATAGAAAATTAGGCACTGAATAAACAATAAAGGGCATTCTTCACTTACAGACAGCTTTTGAATCTTTCAGAGCATCTGCCAATATAAACAATTCCAAGATAAACAACCCATTATTTATTAATCAACCACAGTGTAGTTGGCTCTGGACACAGCACAATCACAGGCATTATGGCTCCCACATCTCTCTGTTTGAGGGACAGAACTCTCTAAGCAAGGGGCGGTCCACCAAGCCTGCAAGGGCAGGCAGTTTCCAGTAGGGTTGTCTTCAAGTGGCCACCAGTTTTTGGAGTACTGAATGCTGAGTCAGCAGCTGCCATGCTGGGAGGGGGCATGTTAGATCCTAGGACCTGTACAGAGGGAGATGATTCCACATCCACCAGGAGCCCCAATGAATAGTCCACCCTTCCAGTGAAACCACTTGGAAGCCCAGAGAAATATTTGAGAGAAATAAGCTCAAGAGGTTTGAGCTACACAGTGGGGGAAATCAGAAATTGTAAAGAACTACGCTGTTCCCAGTTAAACTATGTGTACACTGATAAGTTTTAAACCTGAGAAAAAAGTAAAATATTCTGAGATTAGATATTACCTTTAAATTCATATTTGCTTTATATCTCTTTAAAATAACTGACAACATGGGACACTTAGCTTATTTTGCAATAAGCATCGCGTCTGTGACTTGTGGTTCAAAAATTCTGAAATTGGCTTAACATTAAAGAGAAGGGATACCAGTCTTATTAACTGGGTTCCTACTTTCTTTTTTACTAATGAGGAAGTACTCTGTGGAATAGATAGCCAGAGGCAGACACCCTGCAAAATCCTCTCCAAGCTTAGCAATTTATGTAATTTGTTTTCTCACTTCCATATGGAGAGATTCCTAACAGGAAAATTAGAAAAGCTGCATGGTGAAAGGTTCAACATGCTTAACACAGATGGGCTTTCCATAGAGCACTTAGGAAAGAGTTCAAAGATTGTTTTCCACAATCACAGTCAGAACTGTCACATGACGGACAGGAAGCAATTAAAAAAAAAATATATC